GATGGACTGGCGGTCTCAGACACAGCGCGCCAGACGGAGGGACACATGCCTCTTACCGTGGTTGCGTGGGTAAATACAAAGTAGTAGTGGCTCTTCAGCCGGGTCCTGAGGGTCCCCGTGCATAGGTGTGCATGGGGCTGGTGAGGGGCGCCGTCAGCCATCGAACCTCGTAGGTCCGTGGCCCGTCCGCTAGGAGTTAGGCGATAGCCCCCCCATGCTGGCAGTTGCCATGCGCTCACCAAGCGGTCGGAATCAAAGAAATACCTGAGGCCGCCCCTCCAAGCCTGGGCTGTTTCCCCATTCATCCATCTCAATAATATTTCACACCCTCAATTGGGCAACACGAAAACACAATATCCCAACATCGAGATCATCTTGGTGTTTCTTTTTTTTCCTGTCTTTTCTCTAACCTTCCGATCTAATACCCTGGACCCGCGCGTTCGTTTGACGGCCATCTCGCTGTCAAATGAACCTGCAATCGACGTTATATTTTCTATTTCACGTAAGATTCCCCTGACCGCAAGCTCGCTACATCACCCCATATCGTTGGAGAGAAGCTTCGAGGCCGTTTAATGCAGCATTGGGAATCGCACTCGCCTTCTCCCACCTTGAGATTCGTGCAGCTTGAGCTAGTCTTTGGAATTGGGTTGATTTGCTAACGGTCGACCTAGTCCTTTAACCCTCCGGTAATCACCTAAATGCCCACCATTTATTCCTCGCTTTACACGAATTTTATCCGCCAAGGATCTACATTCGCCAAATCTGTTACCGCACACGGCTACGCTCAGTCTGTCGTAGCTGCGACCCAGCCTCATATCCTTAATTCCCAAAACCGCCCGGTTTTCCATCGTCGCCACAAGCACCCTCTTGGCCGCCTCTCGTCGCTCCAGCTTCACTCGGCGTTCCATTCTGAAAGGCACGCCACTTCAGCGTTCCAACCCGAAAGCCGCGGCCATGGTGGTTTAGATGCGTACTTCGAGGCGCTGCAGGAGAAGCAGGAAGCCGACAACGAAGAAGTTGACAACGAATGGATTCAATATGAGTTCCCCAAGCGGATCGAGTGGAAGCCAAGTGCTTCTGCCATCCTCGAAGGAGACAAGGAGGCACGAGAGCGTGAAGAGGCAGGCCATGAGCTGGAAGCCAGCCGATCCTTCACGCCAGAAGAGGAGGCTGCACTTGCACACATAGATGCAGCTTTGGAGAGAGAAATCGAGGCCCGAAGTCAAAAAGATGCTGCTGAGAGTGTGGGATCGGCTTTGCCTTCTCGAGCTCACACACCTGCATCTCTAGCACGATCAGCTACCCCTCCGGCTGATCCCCAGTCTCAGTCTTATGCTGATCATCTGTTCAAACTTTCCTCTGCGGGTCGATATGCGGAGATTCCTACCGTCTTCGAGGCCATGCTGGCCACGGGCGTCCAGCCCATTGCCGGTGCATACAACGCCTTGCTCATGGCTGCTATTCACATCCCAACCAGGAGAATCGAAGTTGTATCCAAGGCCCTGGATGTCTACGCTGATATGATCCGTCGTAGAGTTTCGCCTGATAGCGACACCTACGATATTTTGGTCGGCCTTCTGGCATCCCGATGTCTGGAGGTTACCGACTTGAAGGCTAGCTTGGAGGACAAGAGAGTCCGCTTCGGTGGTATGGATGAGCCTGGCAAGTTTATGTTCGCCTCTCACGAGTTTGAACATGCCATCTTGTGTGAGGATGATCGTCTGAACCTCGCTATCTCGCTCTTCGATTCCTCCGTTGACAGGGACGTTGCCTTCTACACCGCCGAAACCTATCACCAACTGATCTCAGCTTGTGCTCAGGCTGGTAGGGTTTCGGATATGCTCCGTCTTTTCGAGCATATGGAAGCCAGCGAAACCATTTCTTTTGCGGCAACCTTCCCCACGATGATCACTGCTTTCGCCTCTTCCGGTGATCTCATCAGCGCTGTCGAGTGCTACAATGAGTACCGGAACCTGGCAATTGCACATGACAGCGGAAAGGATACCCTTCGGGATCGATTGGATGCTCATGTGTACGCCGCTGTTATTAATGCCTACGTGATGTCGGATAAGATCGAGGGTGCTATGAAGTTTTTCAAGAGAATTGTTGATGAGTATGGTGTCCGTGCCATTGACATCAAGGATGCTCTGATCAGCGCTGGTTTTGTCAAGGGTTTTATGAGCAGGGGGATCTACGCTGAGGCTTTCCACTGGGCCCAGTCCGTTGACGCCACTGCTCGCCCCGAGTCCATGACCAAAATCGCCACTCTCTCTGCTGACAGCGATGACAAGGCGACGGCCGTTGATGCTTTTGATAGTATCCCTTCAAACTTCCATGGCATTGCCAAACCCGCGATCGCTCTTCTTGCCATGAGCGTCCGTGCTGGAGATGTTGCAGAAGCCAGCAAGTACTGGCAGGTTCTTTGCCAAGCTGACATGCATGCAACTGATGCATACATCGAACCCACCGCCATGTATGCTGTCGCCCTGATTGGTTCGGGTCAGGTCGCTGAGGGCCTGGCCCAGTCCGAGATGATGTTCCAGCGTATTCGCTCTGCCGAGGTTGAATCGCGACCTGAGGTTGCCGAAGAAATCGACGAAGCCATCGATTTCATTGCACGCTACATGGACGCCAGGGGTATTGTCGATCCCCGCTCCACGATGCCGCAAACTTCCACAGGTTCTCCCTTCGAATCCACCTCGACCCCAGCTAGTTATGAGGACACTTTCGACCCTTATGCTTACAATACCGACTTCAAGGGCTCGTCGCTCATCGCTGACGATCTTGAGGGAAGCCATGGTCGCAAAGGTCCACGTCTTGGAGATGCCCTCAACCGCTTCAAGAACATTCGCCGAGCCGGAAGACACCCTCGATACATCACTTATGCTAAGCTCATTTCCGCAGCTGCCCGCGAGGGCAAAATGGAGATGTGCCAGGATATCCTATCCATGGCCCGAACTGATGTGCCCTTGATGTCTCAGTATGCTGTTGTTCGCTATGGCTGGTCGTCTATCCTCGATGCTATGGTGGGAGCTTGCCTGAACCTTGGTAACCGAGGCCGAGCTGAGCAATACCACCAAGAGCTCCTGGATATGGGTGCAGCTCCATCTGCCAACACCTTCGGTCTGTACATTACTACCCTCAAGGACTCGACCAAGACTTTTGACGAGGCATCTGAAGCTGTTCGTATCTTCCACCGCGCCAAGGCTGAGGGAGTTGAACCAAGCTCATTCCTCTACAATGCTCTGATCGGAAAGCTGGGTAAGGCCCGCCGAATCGATGACTGTCTTTACTACTTTACGGAGATGAGGTCGCTGGGTGTCAAGCCCACATCTGTTACCTACGGTACCGTGGTCAATGCTCTTTGCCGTGTTAGTGACGAGAAGCTTGCTGAGGAGCTGTTTGATGAGATGGAGTCGATGCCTAACTATAAGGCTCGCCCCGCCCCATACAATAGCATGATGCAGTTCTTCCTGACCACCAAGCGCGACAAGAGCAAGGTGTTCGCCTACTACGAGCGTATGAAGGCAAAGGCCATTGCACCCACTGCGCATACATATAAGCTTCTCGTCGACGCTCACGCTACTCTGGAGCCGGTTGACATGGATGCTGCGGAACGCATCTTGGAAGAAATCCGCACATCTGGTCAGCGACCCGAGCCTGTCCACTACGCTTCTCTTATCCACGCTAGGGGCTGCGTCCTTCACGACATGGAAGGTGCTCGCCGGGTGTTTGACTCATTGATCAAGAACCCTATCGTACCTCTTAACGCAAGCCTGTACCAAGCTCTCTTCGAGGCTATGGTTGCTAACCACCGCGTCGCCGATACCGAGTCTGTGCTAGCCCAGATGCGCAGCCAGCGTGTGGAGATGACACCTTACATCGCCAACACACTGATCCACGGCTGGGCTGCTGAGAAATGCATTGATAAGGCTCAAACTATCTACGACTCTGTCGGTCGTGAGAAGCGAGAACCTAGCACCTACGAAGCAATGACTCGAGCTTTCCTTGCTGTTGAGCAGCGGGATCAAGCCAAGTCAGTCGTCGGTGAGATGCTTACTCGTGGCTACCCTAGTGCCGTCGTTAACAAGCTGCTGGAACTCCTTGGCGGAGGCCAGGAGTCTCTTCCCGTGTGAGATGAATACGAATGAGGACATGACAGCTGGAGCCTGTCAACGAAAAAAAAACTAAAATATCTTTTTGTAATCTACGAGTCTTGTTTGATACCCCAGCACCTGTTTTTCTTTATTTCCTTTGTCTATGGGGTTCCAAATGGCGGGCAACAGGCTGTAGATAAGCCGAGTTGATTGTTTGATTTCTTTTGGATGCATAGGCAGTGGCATGTTGATACCGGATACAATTATTTGGCATGGCGTTTTGGGACCAAGAAAATGGTTCGCTACGAAAGAAGGGTACATATAGCGACTTTGGGCGCAAGTCTTGCGTGTGTTTTGGAAACACCGATAGACAGATCTCCACTCGGCATAATGCAAAAGAACATTGAATGTATTTGTGTGTATATGAGGTTATTAAGATCATTGTGATGACAGACTTGCCAACACTTGGGCGTTATATGAGGAGACCAGATCATTAGCCTGGATGCACAGTGCGTGTGCGAATTGAAGCACTCCGCACTGTCCCCTCATGACCCCGCCATGAAGCTCGTCAGGATGAACAGCCACTTCGATGTATTGATCGTCACAGCCTCTGTGCCTAGGCATCCTCCAGTATTGTCCTTCTGGCAAACTGAAACTGGCCTAAAAGGTCATCTACGTGCTAGTTCATTCGAGGGAAGCCCGGCGATCCCTCATTATCGTCCGTTTGAACCATCCCGATTATACCCTCTGGCTCTCCACCTCTGCATAAGAAGATTATGCGCATTTTCACCGTTGGGACATAACCAGTTTACCACCTCTTCACAACTCGTCGAGAAAGCCTCAAACCGACGTCAAAGCTGAGAAGGAGAGAACAAACACTCTAGAGTTGGAGATTGATTAAACATGCCGTCTCAGAACCCTACCGTCGCCATCTCGGCCCCCGGCAAGGTCCTGCTGGCTGGAGGCTACCTCGTGCTGGACAGGCAGTACACCGGTCTCGTTTTTGGCTTGAGCGCGCGGATCAATGTCATCGCCGGAGAGATCCATACCGGGCCTGGTGTCCAGCTGAACGAGATCGTCGTCGACAGCCCACAGTTCCAGGATGCTCAGTGGCGGTATGGCTACCACCTTGCACCTGAGGATGGGGGGATCAAGGTGACGCAACTCCAAGTGTAAGTGGACATGAGTGTATACTCTCAATTGAGAGGTAGACACTATCAAACAGACCCCAATTCTCAACAGGGATGAGGGATACACAACGAGCGACCTGTACCACCAGCTCAAATATAAATATAAAAGTTTGTTTGATTTTAACTCGTCTCCAGGGGCACCAAGCTGAACGCCAACCCTTTCGTCGAGACCACCCTGAGCTACGCCCTCACCTACATCAACAGCAGGACCGCGGGGCTCAGCGCCCCAACCATCCGGCCCGCCCGCCTCATCATCCTCGCCGACGACGACTACTACTCCAACCAGGGCACGCCCCAGGGCCGCTTCGCCAAGTTCCCCGTGCCCCTGGGCGAGGCCCACAAGACCGGCCTGGGATCCTCCGCCGCGCTCGTCACCTCCCTGACGGCGTCCCTCCTGGTCCACTACCTCCCCGCGGAGCTGTTCGACGTCGCCTCGGAGGGCGGCAGGCGGACGCTCCACAACCTCGCCCAGGCCGCCCACTGCGCGGCGCAGGGCAAGGTCGGGTCCGGGTTCGACGTCGCGGCCGCCGTGTTCGGGTCGTGCCTCTACAGGCGGTTCTCGCCGCAGATACTGAGCGCGATCCCCGAGCCGGGCACGCCCGGGTTCAGCTCCAAGCTAGTGGGCGTGGTGGACGGCACCGCGTGGGACGTCGAGTTTGGCAGGGACGCGCTCGGCATGCCGGGCGGCGTGGCGCTGCGCATGTGCGACGTGGACTGCGGGAGCCAGACCGTCGGCATGGTGAAGAAGGTGCTGTCCTGGAGGGCGTCCGACGAGGACCGGTCGAAGAGGCTGTGGGACGACCTCCAGTCCCGGAACGTGGGGCTCGGCGAGACGCTCAAGTCCGCGAAGACGGGAGAGCTGCCGGGGAGGCTGCTCGAGGTCCGCGAGCTCGTCAGGGAGATGGGCCAGCTGAGCGACGTGCCCATCGAGCCCCAGAGCCAAACGGAGCTGCTTGATGCTCTCAGTGCGGTGGAAGGTGTGTACGGCGGGGTGGTTCCGGGAGCAGGCGGTTTCGACGCCCTGGCCGTTCTGATGAAGGACGATGCGGAAACCAAACAGCAGGTTGAAGAGTTCCTGGTCAAGTGGAGTCAAGAGAAGGATGCCAAGGTGAAGCTGCTCAAGGTGAAGGGCGAAATGGAGGGTGCCCGTCGCGAGAACTTGGAGATATATGAGGGATGGATTTAACTTGGTATCTGGGAAACAAAAAGACAGGATTTCTTACGAATTTATCTTGCTGGAATATGAAAAATAGATCTAAAAAAAACACACACAGTGAAAAGCACACCATGATTTATTCAGGGGGGGACTTTCTTATGCCCGCGGCATCAAAGCTAAACTAAAAGGGTATTATCTCCAATACATTAAGTGGTTTATAGGCTCTTATGCCTCTTGTTCTTTGGTACAAAAAAAATTCTAAATCGCCATGCTCTTGGTTGCAAATTGGTTGAAAGAGAGTAATGAACTGAAACAGAAGGGTCAAATGAAAATCGAGACAAATCGCAAGGCCAGGGAAGGATTTTGGCCGGGTACTCCAGCAACAACCATCCGACTTAGTTGGTGGTGAGAGATGAGGTTGAAGCTCCGCTCGGCGACAGGACGGTCATGATCGGCGAAGGCGGGTGGGAAAACAATGCGGAATGAGCAAGAGGTATCGAATCGGCAATACCAATGCGGCTGGCAGCTGCTTTATCGCGAAGGATGGAGATTCTAAACATCACAGTAGAGTTAGTCCTGAGAAGGATGGATATATTTCGAAGCCGGGACTGGAGGCAACTGGAGGAACGCACTCGTCTTCGGAGATGCCTGGCAGGCAAACCGGCTCTCTCTTCAAATTGAACGGAGCAGACTAAGAAGGGAAGTGTTAGTAAAGACAAAGATAGATGAAGATGTCCGTGACGTACTATCTCTGGGATGTTCTTCTGCTTTCGGTGGCATCTGCCAAGGATAGTCTGGACGCGGCAGCAGAACATTCTGACGTCGTTCTTGATCTGCATGATTCCTGAAAAGGTCCGGTGAAGGAAAAAGAAGAGAAAAAAAATAGATGCCGCTATTGCGAGGCGGTTAAATAAGACTGATGATGTCGTGAAAGGACCAAGATGTGGCTCGTGTGCTGGTGTGCTTGTCCGTCCGTGTAGTTGAAAGGGAGGGCAAGGAATAAAGAGGAGAAATTTTCGCTCGAAATGCTAAATTTGGACACGAGAAGATTGTATATACCCCCTTTTCTTTTTTTTCAAGATTGGAGAAGACAGAAGCAAGAAAGGAAATGGTCTGAAGCGAGTGCAACGGTTGAGATATAAAGAATGTGGGTTGGCGCCTGAAGCATTCCCCGGGACGAGAGACAATGAGAGTAGGACTCGGTGAGCGAAAGAGACAAAGAAAGGAGTGGAACCTCGACTTGAGTCGAGATGGAGCAGTGGTGCAAGAGAGCGTTTGAAACTAAGGAGCGAAACGGGTCGATGCCGCGAAAATCAAGATCTGTTGTTGGAAGCCCACCACTCGACACAATAAGAAACAATAAACATCAGCAACGAGTGTGGGAGACGCGAAGGTCATATACTATCGGGAGTCAGCCATTGGCAAGCGAATCCGGCCTGATATTGCCTGTCTGTTCTCTAGCCAGCCTGCCCTCCAGTCCACCTAATGCCCAGAACCCTGGATCCGGTATGCAATGTGCACATGTATGAGCCTGGAAGGGAAAAGGAGCCAAAGAAGGGCAGTGGCAGGGTGACACGACAGGCTGGAGGCTTGGTTGCAGGAATGCACAGGCTCGGGAGAGTGGGTGTGGAATTGGGTGTCTTCTGCCGGCATTCCTAGGTGACCGCCTGCGGTAGGGAACAGTACTAATATAGAAATCACTAGCCGCACACAATGAATGAGGTCGCTTGCGTTCATTTATTAACATGGCGTTGAGGGCGGGCGCCCTTGCGTGGAGACGAGCGTGTCTTATTCAAGTGAGACATGACACAAGGTGCGACGCATAGAGCGAGAGCGTAGATGGACAAGGGACCCAGCCCCGTGGGTAGTCAAGGGATTATAATCACTGCCACGTTCGGAAGCGGGATTGAAACGGGGGCAACTCAATATTGGAAATGGTGATGCAGAATGAGCAGATATTCATTGTCCTGTAGCTAGGCGATGGGCCCCAGAGCAGACCAATGCATCGGCTTGTTCGTTTCCAGGCTGACGGGCAGGCGCAGATGAATATCGCAGACAAGTTCCACCGGGCACTAGGGAGGGTGTCACATTGACTGGACTCACATCTCATCTGTACGACAGCAGGACGATCTCTCGCCAATCTGCCAACCTTACAGCCGTGCAGAATTGGATGTGAACCCCTACCTAGTTCATCCGAGCCCGGCCATGTACACAACAGATCGACTCTCATCTGAATTGTGTGTCCTATTTCGGATGATCCTTAATATGGAAGCTCTTAGACTTGACAAATTGTTCGAAGCCAAATTTGCCCAGTGTCTGTCCCTTGCCAGAATTTTTCCATCCAACCCATGCAAGGTCCTAAGGTTCAGGTCAGTCACTCAGCCAACATATCCGTGTCGGCGAAGTAAATTAGGAATTTAGGGGGCGTTTTGTCCAATAACTTACCGGGCTTGGGAAGTCACATCGGTTGACAAATACAGTGCCGGCCTCCACACCCTCCGCCAACTGATATCCTCTGTCCGTGTCCTTGGTCCAGATGCTGGCGGTCAGGCCAAACTCGCTGTCGTTCATTGCCGCAACCGCCTCCTCGTCATTCTTTACCTTTACCACGGGAATCACAGGTCCGAATGTCTCTTCCGTCATGACTCTCATCGAGTGATTAGCATCGATGAGGAGAGTGGGTTTCACAAAGTTGCCCTTTTGCGGTGGGTTGCTGAAGCTCTCATTTTCCGGTGTGGCGTCTTTTGCACCTTTGTCCAAGGCATCCTTGATGTGCGCCTCAATCGTCTCCTTTGATCTTTTCGAAATAACCGGCCCAACATGAGTCTTCTTGTCGAAAGGATCGCCAAGCTTATATCCCGAGAGCACCTTTTGCACCGCCTCGACAAATTGGTCGTGGATCTTCTCGTCTACGTAGATTCTTTCCAGGGAGCAGCAGCTCTGGCCTGAGTTGAAAATCGCACCATCCACAATCTCCTCGGCGGCCCATGGAATATCAACATCCGCTCTGACATAGGCTGGGTCCTTGCCACCCAGCTCGAGGCCGACTTGCACCACACGGTCGGATGCAGCCTTCTGGACAGCCAGACCGCCCGCAACAGAACCCGTAAAGCACACCAAAGCCACTCTCGGGTCGCGGACAATAGTCTCCATCGTAATAGGGGATCCGCTGTGGAAATACTGCAAGACACCAGATGGGAGGCCCGCCTCGGTAAAGAACTTGGATACCTGCTCCACAATGGTCGGTGTCTGGGGTGATGGCTTGAGGATCACACTGTTGCCGGCCAGGATGGCTGGGATCAGAGAATTAATGAGAACCAGATAAGGGTACTTTTTTCGGGGGGCGGGTGCATTAGCCGAGATCTTTCTTTCGTTCCAAGACTCTAGTACGACTTACATTCCAGGTAGAGATGATGAGGACGGGACCAACTGGGCACTTGCGAATAAAGCGCTTGAAACCTTTCTCCGGCTCTCCGTCTGTATCCTTGAGCACCTCGTCACTTATTTTGAGTAGGTACTCGCCGCGCTTGACGGCAGTTGTCACTTCCTTGCCGGTGTATGCGATGGGGCGGCCCATCTGTACCGTCAGCTCCTCAGCAAGCTCTGCTTCATGGTCGAGGAGAAGCTTGAAGAATTTCTTGACAATCTCCTGGCGCTCCTTGAGAGATGTCTGCCGGAAGCTCTGGAATGCTTCACTGGCAATCTTGGGGAGCAATTCCAGGTCTGCAGATGAAGCGCCATTCCGGGTGATGATAGGCTCACCCGTAGTAGGAGAGATTGTTGTAATCACTTCGACCGACATGGTGAAGTATGGCCGATATTGTAACCTTGACGACAGAAAATGCTAAGAAAGGCGGAATGAAGAGAAGGATATCTCGAATGGAGGAATTGTGTTTGTACGATGATAGAGAAATGCCCCGCGCTTGCTCCCCACGTCACCATTCGCTGGATGGGTCCTGCCTGATAAGCTGGTGTTCGTGTAAATCAGTCACAAACAGCGAGATCAAAGAGAGTACCTAGTTTCGTTGTTCGCGAATATCTTCGAGGCTCCCAGGAACAGTTTTATATCGAAAGAGTTAGTCAGGCACCATGAACTTTCAAACAGTACATGAAGGTGATAATAGAAAACCTTCCCGCCATTATATCATAGATCTCATCCATCCTGCATCGGAACTCAACCCAACCGCCACTGTGGGTCCTAGCACGACCCCTCAGTATACTGCCTAGTTGCATATATGGCTTTCTGAAAGCCCCGCTATATCAATCTTTTTGCATACTACGTTGGATCTACCAACTTTTTAATGCTAGTGAAGAGACCCTGCATCAATCATTCAGGATACCAAAAACGCCCTGCACACACGCCGCCATGGGGAAAGACAAACGCAACGAGTTCCTCGACGCCTCGGATAGTGAAGACGAGCAATCCCAAGGCTACAACTCCGAAGATGACCTAAGAAAAGGAGGCCGCAGCACCAAGCGCCGGAGAATCGACCATTCCGACGACGATGAGGCCAGCGACCTCGACGGCGGCGTTGCAATTGACGATCAACCCACAACAAAGGATGACGATGATGAAGACGAGGAGGCCACAGAGCTGCCTTCGGAGCAAAAGGCGAAGAAGAGGAAAGCCTCAGAACTCGAATCAGAAGTGCCCGACATCCATCGAACACTGACCAAGAAAAACCTTGTGTCGACAGAGGCGGCGGTCAAGAAGTCAGGGGTGATCTACATGTCGCGGATCCCTCCATTTATGAAGCCCGCGAAGCTACGATCGCTCCTCGAGCCGTACGGGAAAATCAATCGGATCTTCCTCGCCCCCGAGGACCCAACGGCGCACGCCCGCCGCGTCCGCGCCGGCGGCAACAAGAAGCGCACCTACACCGAGGGCTGGATCGAGTTCCTGAAGAAGAAGGACGCAAAGGCCGTGTGCGAGCTCCTCAACGCGCAGACGATTGGCGGGAAGAAGTCATCATACTACCACGACGATTTATGGAATCTCAAGTACCTGACCGGGTTCAAATGGCACAACC